GATCTTAATTCCTGTGTCATTAAGTCGTCCCGACTCCGCCCATTGATTTATACAAAATGTTCACAGATTTCTACCTTGATCTTGAAGGCTTTGGTTCCATACTAGAGACTTACCCTTTTTGATGATTATATGTATCAAGAGTTAAAATTCGTTTAATTGTCTCTTAGCTTGAGAAAAGTTAAACATTTCCGTGTTGTAACCAAAAGGTGGCATGATATGCGTGCTAAATTAAACAAGAGGCCCATGGACCACAACGCTCTCCTGAGTAACTTTGGCCCTGCTGTTCTTCACCAGACTTTTCCCAATGTAATACCTATTGTGGCCCCGCCCTACCCCAGGGGTCATGATTTTAATAATTTGTAATCTTCACTACTCCAGAATGCTTCCACATGAATTTCAGCATACCTGGCCCAGTGGTTCTTGAAAAAGGAGATCTTAAAGGATTTTTATATATTTCAAAGTAAAAATTAGATTCCCTATTGTGACCCCGCCCTACCCCCGGGGGTCGTGATTTTAATTTAGAATCTACACTACCCCAATGTGCTTTCACATGAATTTCAGCTTTTCAGCCCTTAAAAATTGAAAAGGTCGTAATTCCGTCGAAAATCAATGAAGCGGAATGAAATGCAAATTAACTCATCAAGATACACTCACATAACAAAAATCAGCTCAATATCTGCAAGCGTTTAGGAAAAAAGTGCGGAAAACCAAGTGTGACTGACTGACAGACAGACAGAGGGACAGCTGGACAGACAGACACACGCAGAGGAAACCTATAGTCCCCTCCGGTTTCACCGGTAGGGGACTAATAATGTCAGTTCTGTTCCACATTAATTGCAATTTGAGAGAATGTAATCAATAAAAACAATTTAAAACTGAAATAAAACTTATTATTAGTTTTAAAGGGCTCTGACAACGATACAGTAAAGGAACCTGACGTGAACTTTATTATGTCGAAAAGAGAAATTTATACATATACACTGTATTGTTTTCTTGTACTGACATTTGCTTTTTTCTGGAACAGATGTGCAGAGGTGCAAATGGATGTACAAAAGTGAGGGATTTTTACTCAATATACTTGTTTGCAACTATATAATTTGAATAGAAGTAATATTATTCACAGATAAAAACTAAATGTTTCCATTTTCTTCACTTTGTACAGTTTTAAGTGCAGAGTATTTACGTTACCATTTGTATCTTGAATATGAAACAAAACAGTTACTGTATGTGCTTAAAGAGTTTGCATTTTTGCTTGTTTGATCTGATAATGTATCATCAACTTAAAAATGGTTATACACTTAAAGTTTAAATAAAACATCATTTACCGTACTTATATTTATAACGTAAGAGGGCAAATTTTAAAATTTCATTATGCCAAGTAAATTTTACCTGAAAAAAAAACAAATGACTTTTAAACAATTAAATTTGAATCGTTATTAAACAAAGTGTTTGTTAATGAAATTGCATTTTTTTTTTCTTTTTAGAAAGAATGGGTAAAATAACAATGATGTATAAATCGATAGTGGTTATAGCCTTTTACTTTCTTTCTCAGAGAACTATACTTCACTGGGGAAATGGAAGTGCTTGGTGTAAGCATATATTCGTTTAACAGTTATTAGTTCTATAATATATGTATTAGCTTCCTTTCTTAGCTTCAAGCACTTTCAGACTTAAAAAAAAAAACAGTTCTGTAATTGTTAGTGTAGAAGGATTCAGATATCTGTTTGTAATTTCACAATTAAAGTCGATCAGTAGTACCGGGTATGGCCTTTGAAATATCTTTAAAGTGCACAAATTCAGCTTTATGGCATTTTTCAAATGTTCGGAACCTGTCCATTAAGATGAATACTTTCGCCTAGAGCCCAGATGTGCTGAAATACAACGGTCCAGTTTTTCGTAGGGCGTGTATGGACTTAATTGGTGTCAAATTTCGGAACACCAAATTACGTCTATATATATAGAAGAATAATACATGCAGCTCGAGTTGATATTTCCGAGTGTGATTATTGGTGTTACATAAGGGATACTCATGGGACACAAAGATACTATTGTATTCATACGCCAACGCAATTAATATGTCAATTTTCTCGCAAAATTTCATCAGCTGATGCATCGATTCTGCTTATACTGTGTGTTCAGAGACATTTTCTCTCTGTAAATAATTCAAAATAAAAACACATACATACACTTCAACATCATCAACATCGTTAACTTTTTAAGACACACATGGTCATATTCCATTTTATTCACACAAAAAACCATGCAGTTAAAAGTTGCAAAGATTTATTCTGCAAAGTTTTCTCTTGAAAAAGTTTTCCCTTTATTCCGAAAGTTTCTTCTGATTATATACCATGATAACTTAATATTCCTCCACATCCTAGTCTATCTGATGTGAGGATACCCCCACTACCGCTTTCTTTTCTGAAGCTTTGAGGGGGTCCCCTCTAATAGTCCCAATCGGTACTGCACACGTAGCCTTGTCCTAGTTCACGTAGTTACTGGGAGAGTTACTGCAGGGGACATTGAGTCAATTATGTACATATCTTTCACAGATTAGTCTCTTATCAGGATTAAAAAATCTTTTCAAGAATTAATCACTTTTTGTCTCTCTCCTCGAGGATATACAATTGCTGAAAGAAGAAAAAGAATTACTTTATAATACTTTTTTTACTCAGTGTGTAAAAAAGGTGATACAGTGTAATCTCGGTTAATGACTCCTATAATGAAGTAGTTCAAATAAATGAGGGGTTTATGAATGTATATAAAAATGGGGAAAAAAATGGCCGGTTAATGACTTTACCTTGAAAAAAAGCTTGTTAAAAGAGTGATAGAAGCAAACAACTAAGAAGCTATGATTTAAGTTGACTGAGAAATATCGTCCTAGCTAGTTAGAAGTGTACCTTTTTTATCCTCTTCAATATCGGCCACCTTTCCGTATGTATCTACAAACATAAAAAAGTTACGTACCGTATGCTTGCATATAAGTCGGTTAAGTCTGTCGGTTATATTTGTTCAGATTAATTGACCCTATTATTAGTTGGAACGATATTTTTAATTTTTTGATCAGAATTGGTTGCTAATTCCAGATTCAATATACAGTTTTATTTACCTGTATTTCGAAGTATGTCTTAGGGTGTTACATCGATATTTGATCTTTTATGCCGCAACAAAAATAAAATCATTAAAATCTGTGAGCACTTGTATTTTATGCATGTAGTACCTTAGACGTTTCTTTCTTGCATGAAAGTATCTTAAAAGTATGCCCCGACTTTAATCTACGATTAATCGTCCGAGTTGAGAAAATACTACATTTCGTCGTTCAAAAAAGTGCCGATGTTTCTAGGACTCACTTGTCAGCCAGACATTGAGTTTTAGACGAAATTTAACTTCCAACAAGATGTGTTTGTGAAACACTGATGCCCCCATATGACAGCTTATGGCGAAGGTTAAAGTTTCTCAAATGCAAGTCAAAATCCAGGCCAAAAGATAAAAAATGTTGGTACCCAAAGGAAGGTCTTGTCTCGAGGAATATACCTGTGAAATTTGAAAGCCCTAGCTGCAACTGTTCAAAAGTTATGGCGAAGGTTAAAGTTTTTTAAAAGTAAGTAAAACGTCAAAGCCAAGGTCAAAGTTGTTGATATCCATAGGAAGGTCCTGTCACAAGGATTACATATGTTAAGTATGAAAGCCCTAGTACCAAACATTCAAAAGTTATGACCAAGGTTAAAGTTTTTCAAATGTAGGTCAAACTCCTATGTCAAGGTCAAAGGGTCAAAGTGGTTGGTATCCCAAAGAAAGTAATGTCACAAGGATTACATATGTGAAGTTTGAAAGTCCTAGCATCAACCATTCAAAAGTTATGGCCAAGGTTAAAGTTTTTCAAAAGCAGGTCAAACTCCTAGGTCAAAGTCAAAAGGTCAAAGTGGTTGGTATCCAAGGGAAGGTCTTGTCACAAGGATTACATATGTGAAGTATGAAAGCCCTAGCTCCAACTGTTCAAAAGTTATTGCCAAGGTTAAAGTTTCTCAAAAGTAGGTAAAACTCCTAGGTCAAGGTCAAAGGGTCAAAGAGGTTGATATCCAGAGGAAGGTCTTGTCACAAGGAATACAAATGTGAAGTTTGAAACCCCAAGCACCAACTGTTCAAATGTTATGGCCAAGGTTAAAGTTTTTCAAAATAGGTCAAACTCCAAGGTCAAGGTCAAAGTGGTTGGTATCCAAAGGAAGGCCTAGTCACAAAGAATACACGTGAAGTTTGAAACCCCAGGCACCAACTGTTCAGAAGTTATGGCCAAGGTTAAAGTCTCATAAAATTTTGCAAAAGTGGGTCAAACTCCAAGGTCAAGGTCAAAAGGTCAAATATGAAGGTACCCAAAGAAAGGTCTTGTCACAAGGAATACACATGTGAAATATGAACGTCATAGCTCCACCAATCAAAAGTTATGGGCAAGGTTAAAGCTGACAACAGACAGACAGACAAACAGACAAATAGACAGACAGGACAAAAACAATATACCCCCGGGATCTTTCGACCCAGGGGCATAAAAATCCGACTTATATGCGAGTATATACGGTATACTGCCTGCAGAAAAAAAAACCCATAATCTGATGCCCACTGGGGAAAAAACAGCAACTAAAACTAATTACTTTTCTTTAACGTTAGATATTTGCGGTATGATCTGGGTGCAGTAAATTTCTGACCCTTGTGGCATTGATTACCTTTACCAGCGCACTAATTTATCTACAGATGTCGGCAGTTAAACTTCTGTGCATTCTTAGGAATGTTACAAATTCCCGATCTATTCTAAGCATCCAAATCACTATTTACTACCGTGTTACTATGAATCAACGAAAAGCAGTATTAATCATGAGTCAGTACTTGATCTGACCAATCAGAGAACAGGGGGTGTGGCTTATGTGAGAAAATTGTGTGATGCCAGCATTTTATGAATTAGTTTTCTTGCAGGAGGCGGGGTTTGTGCGGTCAAGGTGTCACAAGACTAATGCCTAGTATTTATAAGAAAAAAATTACTACAGCTGTAATACACAAAAATATTTTTCAGTTCGTAGTTTTGTCTCCAAAACAAAAGTATAAAATGATTTGTATCAAAGATTTTAGCATTGTACTCCTACTGAACTGTGCATTGGTAAGTAATATTCACTTCCTCGTTTAGAAATTGTTCAATGTATAAGTGTTACTATATACCGGTATTATATATAACAGGCGGTCATTCGAGCCCTAGGGACGTCTGTCGTTACTGTACCCTTAGAAGACTCAATCTGGGGACCTATGAAAAGCCACAGACCTCTCATAGAGGGACCACGGCCCCCCTGCAATAGGAAGTGTGATTACGGATACGATACAGATATCGAGGGGAACTTTATTTGTAAATGTAACAATCCTTGCCAGGTAAGTTGGGCTATTTCATCTATTTGTAGTGCCATTCTTTGTACCTGTAGAAATATTCATATCTTGAACAACAGATGTAATTTTGCAATGTGTTAATTATAGCTGCGATTCTAATTAATCCCGAATGGAAAACATGAAATCCTTAAATAAAATGCAGTTCTGTCTTACTTTAATTCTCTGTAACTTTACCTTATTAAATGGACACAGATAATCCTTGTGCTTTTTTTTTAACAGTTTATTGATTGGTATAGTTTTTTCAACTATACCGGTTCATCGACTTCTAAGATACAGTAAATTTTAAACAAGCCTCAAATTATGTTATTTTGATGTACAATGGCGAGTTCCATTGGTGCTATTGGTTAGAAGAATTGCTACTGGCGCCGTGGTTTGACATTTGCACGTGGAGAAAAATTGAAGAAAAAAATTACACAATCGCGCGGTCGAGTTTATCTAAAGCAGCTTCAAGCAATTTGTGTATACTACGAAATTTTCTTTAATTGCATTGAATCACTGGAAAAATATGTAATATATAGTACTTGAACATTCCAATAGAAGTCCCACCCGGGTTTTTGATACTAGTTAAGAGTATGTTTAAGTTTATTGCTTCGACAATCTACAATCTTTTAAATATCTTTTTGTGACAGGGTGTTGTCTAATTGTTCGAGTTATTTTTTAACCTTTGCTCATAAAGAATTTATGTTACAAATCATCCCTCGCCCTAAATGAGTAACACCCAAATCACGATAGATCCCTGTGCTTAGAATAACAAAACGTAGATCGAATCTGGAGAATATTTATAGGTTGGAATTCATTCAAATGAATTACATTAAACAAATAACTCGCTAAATTAAGGGTATCAAAACAAAGTTGGGAATTCCGATGCGTTTTGCGAAATCCTCGGCGATGGCTTTAATTGAGGAATTTGTATTATTACTCATTTTAGATTCGGTCGCCCCCGCGATGTTTTCCTTTTTATCCTCTCGGCTTCCAAATGACTCTGAGTCAGAAAAATTGTTGCAGTGTGGAGAGATGTATAGGAAGTGACCAATCATGAATAAAAAGCAGACACGGCTCTCTGATAAGATTTTCATTCAGTTTCATCGACTGAACTTTGCTAATGATAAAAGCCAGTCAATCAAATGCAAGGACAAGATAGACTGGATATATTGATCAACTCTAGTCAAATCCATAATAACCCTCTACATTATTTTTAAAATTCAGTAATTAGGATGAAGTATTCCTTGGTATGTGGAATTGAACTATTTCTTAATTCTCAAAAGATGTCGACAACAAAAGAAAGACTAGTGCTTTTTGCAGTGTCACTCGAACAGCTAATTTTAAAGTCAGTTGATAGTAAAATTATGTTAGACGTTTTAAAGTTAAATCGCAGAAAACCCTATCTCTGAATAAATGACGCAGCTGACCACTGGGGACAGATGACCCACGAAATGTTTTGGAAACTCTGTAATTAATGGCAAATGGGGAGCTTTGTGCCCTGACCGAAAAAATCTCCAAACAAACATCTCATATTTCAGCCGGCCTCCCCTGGCCTTGTGTGCCTCTGTTATTGTTTACCTCATCTCTAAGGTCAATGCCACGTACAGTTCAACCTGTGAGACTTTTGAAGGAAATAATTTTATATTCTTTATCTCTAATCGGGCAGCATGCATATGATCTAGGATTAACACATTGGAACTTGTAGCACACACGCAAAATAAGCAAAACTGCAAAAAATGCAGACTTGAGATCTTTATTATGAATTGATCAATATAGGCAACCATTACATTTTTTATTGCTATATTAAATCATTTACTATCTAGTCATTTGGGGACCAAAAAAGTGGACACCAGATTATGATCATAATTTAGTCGCGCGACACGACTTTTGGCGCCTGGCTACATTCCTAAGAACGTCTTTTTTACGTGATAATGAACGCCAGACCGATCCGTAGAGAGCGTAAATAAGACCCACAATATATGAACAGTGTCTATGCTATGGTCATCCCCCTTCCGTGGAGTTTCCATAAAAATGCCAAGCGATGGTATTTTGAAAAAAAAATTGTTTACTGCCCAAATTCATGATTGTGGCAAAACGTTAATAAACGTGTCACACATTCTGCGGTTAGTGCGAAAAATACTTCCGCGCTACGCAGCTGGAAAATGACAATTATAGGTCTATTATCTTCCTCTCAAGGCCATAACGCATACAACTATAATAGAAAATCTCTTCAAAGTAGCTATTAGAATGGTTCAGTGATAAATGTGATAGTCTATAGGATGAGACACAATGTAACCATTTTTTGACATTCACGTTACTATTTATATCCAAAAACTAAATGATTTTTGAAGTACCCCTTTCAAGTAGAAGTGTCTGTCTAATTCTAAAATGGGTTCATTAATCATCTTAGAGATAAATACTTGTATTATCGATGCTGAGTTTGATTTCCACCGAAGTATCAGGCTAAGTCTTTAGATGAGGACAAATAGATGGTGTCCTTTTTGTGCGTTTCGATCAAACTGACCGCCATCGTATTTGGAATAAATGATTCTGACAAGCTTAAGAATTTTTAAAGAATTACCCAATATTTCTGACCGCAAAATAACTTAACGCTAAATTCATGGATCTGCAAAATTTGAAAAAAGAGGCAAACAGATGTGGTAAATAAACATAAAAGTTTCTCAATGATTGCTGCACTGCCTTCTGTTAAGGTTCTGGTAATGAAATGCACAGTCTTATAGTGTGCACGGCTAAACATTAAAATAACGCTTCTCTCATTCCAGAATGTATACTGTTTTGGTGGAACATCGTGTGTTATTTCCAAGTCTTGCGAACGAGGAGCATGCAAACTCGATGCTTCTTGCAAGGGTATGTGATTATTCAGTCAAATGAAAAATATAATAAGATCAAAATTCTCCATAGTATAAAATGTCTACCTGATTGTAGGACTTGCTTAGTATGCCCTCTGTAATGTAGGACTTGCTTAATATGCCCTCTGTAATGTAGGACTTGCTTAGTATGCCCTCTGTAATGTGTTGTTGGACTGATCGCACGAGAGGCAATATTAGGGCGCCTTCAGTCACCTATTATTGTCTTTTGCATTTACAAGCACGTGTATGAAAATAGAATATTCTTAAATATTTATTTTTAATCTTGGCCATAATAAGCTCATCTTGCTTTAAGATCAACACCTTTAAACTGAAATACCCAATATACATCTCTATAAAGTTTAAAAAGGAAGACCAAAATTAGGTCATACGTGCTTTATTCATCAATAATGTACTAATGTTTTCAACCTGTCTTGTATAATCATAGCAAACAGGAACATTATCTACATAAATATAGAACTTCACGTGGGGCTAATTCAGATCGGTAACTTTACAACACTATCCATTCAGTAGAATTACTGATTCCAATTATCCTGTTATGAAAGCAAAAATTCGAAAACCGCAATATTCCTTGGAATCCTATCGAGATCAACTGACAGTATTTAAAGAATGTTTTCGACAATCATTATTTTGCACTTTTATTCATACAAATGTTATGTCGAGATAATTGAATGATTAGATACAATATGTGACAAAGGTACTTGTAATATACATATAAAATTCTGTTGGCTAGTGTCATATTATTGAATTACAAAGTTCTATTTAAATAATTGCAGTACATAAAATGCATTTAACTAACCTTATGATATTTATGGTCAGTACTTACTAATATCCATCTACATGTATTTATTTTACATACACCCCCTTCTGTCTTGATTCCATATTAGTTCTAAACATTACTGTCAATATTTATTATTTTAGATTTAAGACGACAGAAAGACACCGGCTTAACTTCACCACTGAAGAGCCAGGGTTATGTAGGTGTTTTCTTTGATACTGCAAACTTCGTTCGAACGAATGCAAACACAATTTGCAGTCAGCCTTTGTCCTTCGATGTGTTCAACTGCCCAAAGAGAATGCGACGTTATATGTATGACGCAACAAAAGGAAGGTGCGTTCGATTCTGGGGCTGCAGAAAACCCGGAAACAACTTCGATAAAAGAAGAACTTGCAAAGAAACATGCATCACACCATATAAGGGTAATTTCTATTTTTAAGTTGGATAGTGCGCATTTGTATTCAAGTTTTTGTACATAAGGGTACAATTGCACGCCTTTCCTGTCCACATCATGGATTCGTTTCTGATCATTTCTTTGTATTGCACAGTGACATGCAGTTGTTTTACATTTATAATTTTTTGAAAACCGTCCTTTGATCACTTTCCTGCACCAAACGGATTTTATGCAATCCTGCAATACATCACATCTTTAAAAGTAAAAGTGAGTTTGAGCCCGAAGTGGAATCGGTGCAAACTTATATAAGTGACTAAACTGCTGGGTATCTTTCTGCTTCAGCCAGCTGTTTTTCTTCGCTAGTGTCTATCTTGATGAAGATCGAATGTCCTTCTAAATAAACTTAAATGTTATCTCAGCGAAAAACGAGATAATAATGTTAAATCGTAAACAAGTATCAAGGCCGAGCTATGTATACTTTGATTTTCCCCTTACACCCACATGCTTTCACTATACAATAACTAGGAATACAAAATGTTTCAGTCCTGGGGTTCGGACAAGAATGTTGATGAACAAAGGACAACCTCTTATCGTCTAAATCTCTGCCCACTTTACAAAATTACCTCGGACATTTTTCTTCTATTATGCGAGAAATTGTTAAGATAAATCAAAAATTTACTCCGTTCATATTCTATATTACGCAATATTTTCCTCTTGTTCGCATTTTGCAATTGCCAAATCATGCTTACATTATACCCATATAAAAGAGTATCTGCAAAAGCAATACCTATCATTAATTGTTTTGATTATTTTCTCCTCTTTACAAATGGTTCAAAGAAAGAATTTTAATACCACGGAGACTGTGGACTGTGTTTCGATAATTTGTTGTAAATCTATATTTCTATAATTAAAAAAAAAAAATCGAAATACCAGCTCTGTTCCGCACATCGCCAGTTGTTAATTATTGGGTGAAACATAGTTGCACATCTATTACAGTTTAAGGAGACATAAATTTGAGCAGAAAATTAAAGATCTAATCGCACCTCGTAGACAAGTGTATTTTATGTAAGTGCTGAAGGAAAAAAAGGCTTTTTACCTTGAAAAGATTTATCTGCTCTGAAAAAAAATATTGCTTGCTATCTATAGTACCGAAAGGACGGTACCAGTTCTCCGATAGTCCCACTGATGCCACTTTTTTCTCGTGATCATTCCCCTGTTTTATTAACGTATTGGAACACTTTTTGCTGCAAGTTTCAACAGAATTCTAGCCATATTGGTTCTTATTTGATTTATAATCTTAAAATGGTGAACGCAGAACCTTGTACGTTCCCATGCATTAGTGTGTCATTTCCCTTATTAAAAACGTAATTTTTTTTTCTCTTTCATAAGATTTATTTTGTATGCAGGTTTAGCATTTACGAGAGATATACAACTGTAATTTAAAATATCGCCGGTTAGCGCGTGTGCTTTAAGTATGAATTATTTAATTATTTATAGAAAACTTGCAAAGTATATGAGTGTGTTTTTCTTCTTTGCAGGCAAAATGCATAAGAACCGATTTAGACCAAGAAATGTGAGATGTAAATTTCCCGTTGAGAACATGCACGTTGTTTGTTCCGGAAAACTCCGACGACGATGGGTATTTGACGTTCTGAGAAATAAGTGTATTAAAATCAAGGGATGTCCACGACCCGGAAATAATTTCCAAAAACGGTTAGAATGTAAATTGCAATGCGTGCGCCGAAGGAAATGGAAGAAAAGGGGTTGAAATTTCAACATCCAATGTACAGTGTTAACCCTAGGTACGGTAGATACTGTAACCTTATTACCGAGCTGCGACAGAATATAAAGATCTCTGGCAAGAACGTTAATCGATCGGTTTTGCAATTTATTGTTGCAGAAAAAGTGTTTCTCGAGCTTCTACAAGAAACAATGCCCCGAAGAAATTTTCCCACCCACCGTCCTGTGACGTCAACTGTTCAGGAGCGTTTCGAGAAAGAATGGCGGCAGGACCGCCAAGATTGACACGGAATCTTCCGGATTCTACGTTTAAACTATATAATGAAGTATATACTGTGTAATACTTAAGGTTGTTTTTCATGACTGTATTTAAAAAGGATGGGATTTTCCAGTTACAGTGATGTTATTTTTTAAATGATTTATGTTTTATATAGTTTTTTTTAAATTGTTGACAATAAAATGAACAAGAACCTTTCTTTACGTTCGTATTTATGACCGTTTAAACTTCATGTTCACACGGGTGAAATGTTAACTACATTGGAACACGTTTAAATATGTCAGTTAAAAGAGAATGATTCTTCCTGTCATCCGACAATGATGCCAATTAGAATCGTATTTCCGTCCAAAACAAGCAAAACTGCTATTGTGTATTATGTAAAAATGAGATGATTACACGTGGTGGCTGGGGTGAAAAGACAGTGACACTTTGTGACAGGGTTCTGTATAGGTCGTGACCGGAGGTGCACGGGAGGACGAAGAAAGGCATACACATATCTATAGTGTTTAGATTCCATATACATAGAAACTGGAGATGAATTGCTTTTGCATCAACGAATTTGTAATAGATATATTGTAAATATCTGTAATCGAAAATATTTTCCTCACAAAAATATAAGATTTTCAAATAATCGTGCTATGGGTTCACTTCTTATCATTTCACAATTAGTTCACTCGTTACTCAATTTTCAACTGAGTTGGAATTATTGCACTTTTAAAAGCCATGCACTGGTTCTCCTTTCCCCGGACTTTTGTACGTAGGTCAAGAACAAAGCCGTACCTCATATCAGGTATCCGATTCATAAATAGCAAATGTGCTACCGAAAATTACAAATATCCCTAATAATTTACGTTTCATTATTCTATCAATCAAATGTCTCAAAGAACCATGTTCCCCCTAGACCATGAAAGATTTGCTTCACGCTATCAAAGAAGCTACAAAGGTCCCCGATGCCTGCATGTTCGTCATTTTTTTTTTTTTTTTTTTTTTTTTTTTTTTTTTTTTTTTTTTTTTGGCTAAGGATTCATCTACAAACAAGAATGCTTGATTTTGTAGGTCATATAAAAGCCAAAAAATTTCACAGAGTCCTTATTTTCTTTATTCCTTTTTTAATAAACCTGATATAAATACAAAGTGGGTCTCGTTAACTTTGCTCTTTGATCATAAAGGGTTTACGAAATGGCATGCCTCTGTCGATCATATGTTTTGGTTAACCAGAAATTCTAAGGATAATAATATCACGTAAAGTGATTAAAACAAAACGTAGAGGCATGAATATATAAAAGTTTTCTAAAATTTCCCCTCTAGTTATTAAGGTAAAAGGAACTGAAGGATTCATGTACTTTACATATTACTATACATGTAGTTGGATAATGTGAAACATGCTTGAGCAGAATACATTTGCGTGAGATTTCATCTTAATTTACCTTTAAAAGCTAAAAAAAATATTTCTCAAGGGAATTTTTTTTTAAAAATTGTCACATAGACACTCAAGGCTTCTGTTATTACTTTTTCGTCTGTCCGAAATTTGCAAAATCTCCCAGAGACTCGGATGGCCTGTCCTTCAACGTAAGAAGGCACGAGTTATGTCTCGTTCTCCATCGTGAACTGCCTCTCCTCCTCGCTGTTTACAGCAGCGCAGTGAGTGTATGTTCTTTTTTCTGTGAACAACACAGAGGATGAGTAAATCTGGAATATATAAAAGTCAAACCAGGACTAGTTTACTGTAATTATTCCACATGATGAGCGCTTTCACGTCATTTTCGACGATGATCACGATAGGAAGTAAATTTGAAATTGTTTGAATGAAAATATCAGTAGAATGAAGGGTTTTATCTTTCCATTCTTAATTGAATACATAGAACTTGAAACAAACCACAGGATACGATTTCTCAAACTTTACAGAGAAATTTCGGCCATTGCTGTCAAGCACACGAGGGAATTGTCTCTATTGCCTGAATGTGACCTGAACGTATTGAAAGCAAGTAACGAAAAAATACGAAAAATAATGGACACCATTTCCGAAGTTGCGACCATTTTTATAATGTGAAAACCCGTAGAGTTTGAATTGGTTGCCATGCCAACGTACAAGTAGAACTTGAGATTTTATTTCAATCAGAAAGTTTGGAAGAAAAGTACATGTACTCCATTGATCGAACCTAGTTTGAAAGCCCTGTTACTTTGTAACTTTAAAATATGCAAAAAGTGATGATGTTGGCACTGTGATAGGGTATAGTGTGGTCCCCTTCCCACAGTTTCGTTTCAGATGTTATAGAGAGTGCGCAAAAGGAATTGTCACCTGCACCACTAATCATTTGCAAATGGAGTTTATATCTCTCAGTTGATTCGATACGCAAGAGCACGTTCCTATGAACAATTTCTAAAATGAGGTGGGTTATTGACAAATAAGTTGATGATACAAGGATATAAACAATCTCGTTTAAAGTCAATATTTCGCAAATTCTATGGTCGATACAATGACTTTGTTTGCAAATACAATCGGTCTTTAATTCGACGTCTGTCAAACAAATTATTAAGCCATTATTTTCAAACTGAATTGTCTAACAGATTTTTTCTGTTTGCCCGATCATGACAAGGGGCACACGGCGGGTGTGGCCACCTGGTCGTGATTCCACCCCTTTCTCAGGGGTCCGTGTCGGCTTTGCTCACAATTTGCATTGTTTAAATGGACGGTTGATTCATGATCACTGTTCGTTACCTTAAAAACCGAGGCACCGTGTCACGACAGGCGTTGGCACGATAAAGATCCCTCACTGCTCAATGGCCCTGAGTGCCGAGTAAAGGTCAAAATTTGAAGCCCTTCATCGGTATATGGTGACGTCTCTATATGAGTGAAAAATTCTCGAATGGGACGTAAAACAACATACATGTACAATCAATCAATCACATTTCATTGTAGGGAGGATAGCAGGCAGTACTAGATAACATAATATTATTATGTATTAGGAATACAATACTACAATTGGTTGTGTGTCTTTGACCCAAAATTCTCGTTTTTCGAGGCAAAATAAGATTAAGTATATAATTACCGTTATTATAGCAAAGATGATTCCCACTGTCGCCCCAGCAAAGATGTCTACTGGACGATGAGCGTTGTCCTGGATACGGCTCACACCGACATACAAAGCGGAAGCTGCTGCCAAAGTTTGTATTATTGGACAGAATGCACGTGATCTCTTCCATCGACGATATATGCGTAAGTGCATGTAGATCTGATAACGGACAACAAGATTGTTTATGTTTATAAATTTCAGTCATATTTCTTACATTACTTGTTATCGCCTACAGGTTTTTACTTACCACAAGAAAAGTCACTCCATACCAAACACTGGCAGCATGGCCAGAGGGAAAAGATTTTCTGCAAATAAAATTGCCAACACAATATGCATACTAGGTGTTTGTACTTATGTACGGTTATGTTGTCATTATATAATATCGGTTAACGATGGTATTTTAATCCATAGCCTTTTCGCCTCTTGGTCCTAATTTTTTTTTCTTTTTTCCCTCCTTGATCGAAGACTTGGGGGTATATAGTTTTTATCTGTTTGTCTGTTAACCTGTTTGTCCTCGAAAACTTAAATCTTCATAACTTTTGAATGGTTGGTTCTAGGGCTTTCATATTTCGCAAGTGTATTCCTTGTGACAAGATCTTTCTTTGGCTACCAACATACATGTATGCGACCTCTTGATCTTAACCTTGGAGTTTGACCTCTTTTGCAAAAGAAATACCAAACTTTAACAATGGCCATAACTTTTCAACGGTTGGAGCTAGTTATTTTATATTTTACATGTGTACTCAACGTGCCCAGATCTTTCTTCGGGTACTAACATTTCTGACCCTTCAACCTTGACTTCTGAGTTTGACCTACCTTCGAAAAACTTAAACCTTGGCCATATTTTCTGAATGGTTGGTGCTAGGACTAACAATACCTTTCTTTGGTATCAACATTTTACCTCATGACTTCATGACCTTGGTGTTTGACCTACATTCGATAAAAAAAACTTTAACCTTGCCTATTACTTTTGAATGGTTGCTGATAAGGCTTTCATATTTCACTTATGCATTCCTTGTGACAAGACCTTTCCTTTAATACCATTTCTTTTTGTCCTTATGACATTGACCTTGGAGTATGACCTAGTTTTTGAAAAACTTTAACCTTGGCCATATTTTCTGAACAGTTGGTACCAAGGCTTTTCACATGTGTGTTTTCTTTGTGGCAAGACCTTTATCAACACTTTTGAACTCTTGACCTTGACCTTGGAGTTCGACTTACATGAAATCTAACCTTTGCCTGGAGTTGTCATACGGAAGGATCAGTGTTTCACAAACACATCTTGTTGAAACTAACAATGTATACATTTATTGGATAATTCAAAAATCTCCTGAACAGCCAAGGGCAAAAGCGCTATGAATAAAGTGCCTTCCTCTAATTTGGTTTATCATTTTTTCAATATCCCTTTCCCTACCAAAGACTATCTTTTTTATTCTATACTGTAGAAACTATCATTTCGTTTGGCCCTATGAGTAAGACCAGGCCCGTAGAAATTTTACCAGCATATATATATATATATATATATATATATATATATATATATATATATATATATATATATATATATATATATATATATATATATATATATTGCAATAGAAAAAAAAGTCAATTTACAGTGTGCCTCTTCAATAATAACGTCTGAGTCTCCCGCCCCCCCCCCCTTTTTTTTTTTGATTGTGAATGCATTTCTGTACCCCCCCCCTTTTTGCTCTCTTCAAATGAAATTGTTTCCTATGGGGCTGAAGACCTAACACATTTTAATCCATTGAGCGCTTTATTTGGTCTTTGGAAGAAATACACTGTATATGGACCGCTAAATTAGCATAATGGAAAATGTCTTTTATTATTTATCAATATCATCAATTCATTTGATGCGCTCAACAATTCAAGATCTCATAAATAAATAATAAATGATATTTTCATTTCTGAATTATTGCGCGCATTAATGCAATAGTTGATATCATTTATTCATTTGCTGAACTGATAAGCACAATAATTCTCTCTTCAAATGAAATGATGAAAAAACGATTGAATTGATGAACGCAATAATTCAAATGAAGCAATGATTCAATTAATGCGTGCATTAGTTCAGAAAATCATATAATAATATCAACAATTGATTTAATACGAATAATTCATATTTTTCTTAAATCTATTTAATTAATTAATTTATTTTCTGTATTAAAGTGTATATTGAAAGTGTACAAAATTAAGTGAATTGAATAATATTTTTTCTTAAATCTATTTAATGTATTTTTTTTTTTGGTCTTAAGGTGTATCAAAGAGTACAAAATACAGGTAATTTTAATGTGACATGTACTTGACCTAATTGCTATAAAAACAAATGGACTATAAATGAATTTATTGTTATTTGCAAATGGAAATAGGTTGAATATTGATTTTTTTAAACTGGGAATAGGTTAAAGACACCAATTCAATTAATGCGCACAACAATTCTTTTAGATAAAACATCTGTTTAATTAGTTATATCTCCGAGTAAACATATTTTTTCAAAGGGAAGGGGGTTTCAGGTGCCCCCCCCCCCACTCATAGACTCACATACACAGAAAAATGCTCTTATGCATACTCCCTTTAATGGCTTATTTAGATATACAACGCTGCTATTGCCAAAGCAAGAATATTTTAAAACAGAACTTAGACTAACCATTTTTGATATGATGTACATCATCCAATGCAATAAAAACTACACCAGAAAAAGTTTAATGTTCGATCAACATAATCCAACATTTTTCTAATCTGCATTCGCTTAAGACTAGAACATATCTATTAATGCTGTCACCATTTGGAGTTCATTCAGATTCATCGGTTAAAATATTTTCTGAAACATCCTCAGAATATGAAGGGTCCATGCAATCTTTAAAAAAGATTGTAAGCATCGGGGTGTAGTGGGGATTAGAGAAAGTAAACGGATGAAAGTAAATAGGAGAGTAGTGGAATGGAGAAAGATTGCATTTTTGTTTTGTTTTTTATTCAAAGCTATTAAACATAAAAATATATTTTCCAGAAAACTTGTTTTATCCCCCCTCTCTCTCTCTCCATTTTGAAAAATAAAGGGTGGTTCAAAGCCCCCCTCTGGATCCGTCAATGCTCTCTTTAAAAGAACTGATGCGCACATTAACTCACAAAGATTTTACAAAATCTTTGTAAAATAATTGAAGATATCTTCAATTGAAATAAAAAGATCAATAAACCATTCATATCAAGGTTTGAATTAATTTTTGTGAGCAAAACTTGAGCTTAAGGTCAGACAATAAGTTCCTCAATAAGATATAATTTTTCTCAAGAATTTGTCATTGAAGTATTTCTACTTTTACAGCTAGGTTTCCTCACAAAAAAATGGAGGTATCCTACCAGGCATTTGTGCAAGATAACAGAGTTAATAAAGAACTGAACTGAACTGAACTGATGCACACATCGATTCCATTGATGAGAGCAACAATTAGTTTGATGCACGCATCAATTCAATTATTGTGCACAATAATGAAATTGATGATGTTTTTATGTACCCTCAATAATTTATGTATAATAGACACTTATTGCTGGTTTTTGAGGTCAATACGATGATTTAGACACCTGAGAAGTACAATATTCACCGAGCCCGAAGGGCGAGGTGAATATTGTACTTCGAAGGTGTCTAAATCATCGTATTGACCTCAAAAAACAGCAATAACTGTTTTATTATATGATTAAATGATAGCAAACTCCTACAAGACTGTTTTTTTTTTTTTTTTTTTTTTTTTTTTTTTTTTTTGCTTTAATTGAAAGTTTTAACGAGAAATTTCAACAAGAACACATTGTAACATGAAAAAATGGAACAGGAATAATTCATTATATTGACCTGCAATAATTCCTTATATTGACCTGGAAGGTCACGTGATTCATTATATTGACCTGCAATAATTCCTTATATTGACCTGGAAGGTCACGTGTAGGTCAATATAACGTAGTATTTTTCTAACATTGTTGGATCTCAGCCAATCAGAAAGAGGGAAATTATTCAATCATATAATATTATTTGGCGCTCCAGAGAAATGGTAAGAGAAAAATACACTACGAATTAAATTAATTTTGTACGTAGCATTCATGGTATTTTTATGCTCACTTAGCCAAAATAGCATGGATTCCAAATAATGCTTCCATACGAATTGGTATTTATAAACATAAAAAATAAAATAAAGTTTAAAAAGTTGACATTATTCGAATATATCTAGATATTAAGAACATTCTGATTATATGTTTTATTTCTCAAGAATCAGTAGCAAAATAAATCAAAATTAGCACTCAGTCAAAACCATAGGCGCTTGGGTCAAGGATAATGTATATTTTCTATATAATGTATTGTCGAGGAAATTCGAACTGTATTCGTAACTTTTTTTTAAAGCGCACATTGGTTAATTTTAGTTTTTTGTAAATCTTTCTGCTTGATATACACTAGAATATTACAAAATTTTGATATTATACACGTTTCAAGAATGACATATTCCTACTGTAATGTTATACTAAATTAGTATATCGCCAAACCACAGGTGCTTGAGGACAGGAACCCCCCCCCCCCCCCCCCCCGATATAGACCCCGGGCCTTTTCGATTTTTTTCTCATACATTATCTTTAAATGATATATTTGTGACATATATACCAACAATTCGAAAAATTACCTAAAACAAACATTTTATAAAATCGACCTCACTCTATATAAATCAACTTACATGTGTATACGGTAGGGTAGTAACTTTTATAAAATGTTTGTTTAAGTCAATTTTCCGAATTGATGATATTGAGATTATATCACAGATGTATCATCCATGTATAATTTATGAGAAAAAAGTCGAACAGGCCCGGGGTCCTGTCCTCAAGCACCTGTGGGCCAAACACCCTAACTCCGTCACTGCCTAACTCCGTCACTTTCGGGAAAATCCGCGCTGTTTGTAAACGAATGCGATTGTGACGTCATTTTTTCAGTGGTTTTTCTACATATACAGTCTTCTGTATTAAATACCTTTTAGGCCTGTATATTTATGGGGTGAAAAGTAAGCTAAATTATATTTTTATTTTAAATACTGACAAATTTAGTTAAATGTACATATTTGCTTTTTTTTTTTATCCTTGATGTAAATGGAAACAGAGCATCCGAAGTAAAATGGGCAATCTCATATACAAATCATATATGAAAAAGCATGTAAACGTTTAAATGTTTTACGAATGTAAAAACGTTCTCTTTGTCGAAATGCGTAAATAAAAATACATATGTCATTCATTAGACCAGTCTTAGAATATGGTGATG